TTTCATATCAAAATTTAGTGAATGAGTTGTTGAAATAAATAAAGATCTCAAAAGTAAATTGAAGTATGAAACACAGACGGAATAGAAATGAAAAAGATGTGCATCAAGCATGTTCTGATGATATACAATCTTTAAAAACTTGACTTTTTATAACTAAAAATTATTAACATGTGAGTCACGATATCATAGTCAAGTAATTTCAAATATGATGCAAATTTTGATATAAATAATTTTTGGGAGCCGTTAGTCATCACTCACTTTTTACTATTCACCACTCACCTGCGCACTTTTCTCGCGCTCCGATTGGCTAGATGGTGACTAGCGGCTCCCTTTTATTAGTGCTTTCCATCCCTCCCTAACTGGGAGCCGCTAGCCTAACTTTATCACCTGCATGAAACCAGAATTCACTAGGTCCTATGAAGTCCCCGAGGAGCGGGAAGTCCGTCAAAGTGAGGTTCCGCCGATGTAGGCCGTTAAAGATAACCCTAAACTGTAAATTCAAACTTGCTTCAGGGTTCTTTAAAATTAGGGGTGAGTGATGAATAGCGAAAAGTGAGTGGTGACTAACGGCTCCCTTATTTTTATGTGATAATCAGCAATGGTGGCAAGTTTGTCAAAGTATTGACAATGTTGAAAATAATTTAACAATTGATATATTCAATCATTTTATAAAAAAATTTTATCTCAGCTATGATAAAAAGTTTCAAAACCATTTCATGAGTAATTCAACAATGAAGAGATTAGCTGGTCAGCACTTGGCAACAACACAAATTAGCAAGAACTGACATATAGAATGATTGTATCCACAATTCTTGATTTGATAATCACAACTATTCCACTAAGTAGGGAGTCCAATTTGAACAGTGAACATTGTGAGAGTATGATATGCTATAATTGAGATTTGCTGAATTAAATAAAACACATCTAGTTTTGTATTTTTGAATATTCTTGAAATTTCAAACAAATCAGATATTAATTTTGATACTCAAAAGCTAAAAAAATTTTGAAAAAACTATTTTTTTAAAGTTGAAAATTTATATTAAAAAAATCTTAATTAAAAATTTACTGATAATTAGTTTTTTAATTAAATAATTTAAATAAATAAAATTAACAATCATTATGATGATCGATCATTATCATTATGATTTTTTATGTCAAGTTTAACGTTCTCAAGTGAAAAATATTTTTACATTAGGTAGTATAAAAATTTCAAGCTAAAATTATGCTCATAACAATAATTTAGGAACTTTATTTAGATTAAATATTGATATCAACGTAGGAAAAAAATTATGCACAATGATGTTATATTTATAGTTTCACTTATGAAAATCGGATTTAACTTTGAATGTGCTAAAGAAATCATTTTAGTTTGGAGATTTAACAAAATCTGAAATATAAAAAACTATGGCAAATACAAGGCAAGTATGTTAAAAGTCACCTTCCATATTCATTTCATTTCAAAGATTGTGAGTTTTCATTTAGCTACTCATTATAACCTATTATCAGCCCTTTTTAAATTTAAAGTTTTATTGATATACATGATAATCTCATAATAGATTATCAACATTGAACATAATATTGCTTCATGGCAATACAATGAAAAAGTCGATATTTTTATGTATTTCATAAGGCTTGAAATTACATTTGTTACGGCCAACACTAGCATATAAATGATCAATTCACAAAAGATATATGTGAAATGAATTTTACAAATAATTTAAGGATATTTTAATCTTATGTTTATGCAAAAATATATAGTGACACATCATAAATTGACTATGCAGATGTTGATACTATTTGGAAGAAGTAAAAACAAAAATTAGATTTTTTTTTTAAATAATAGATAGATTGTATATTTATACTGTGAAAATGTTTAGGTCACTACATAAATTAAACTAAGTATGTAGTGGCAGCCAAGATAATGAAGAAAATATTTTGGGCCAATAAGCTTGTTACAAAGTTGAGATTATTATGACATTGTGAATGTTCGCAATAAGAAAAACAATCAGAATGTTTTACATCTAGCTATGAATTATATCATGGTCATTGATGCAAAACATATCAACATCATGTCTATTGTTTTCAGATGAGCTGTTTGTAATAAATTGATATTGATTTAATGCTTGAACCAGTCATGTTTGATGTTAAAATCAATCTCGTAAATGTCTATATGAAATGAATATTTTACATAATTATGCAAGACATTCTGCCACATTGCAACTTTTTCTTATAGATATAACTTCTCAATCATATTATTTTATGTAGTATTTTGTTTTATCTTCTTTTATATACAATTTAATTATAACTGATTTTGATTTATAGAGCAACATATGCTAGTGTAGTTTTTAAACTGTTTGTTGAAAAATTAGATTGGTAATACAGATTATTTTAAAAACGAGTAATAAATTTTAACTCAACTATTTCTTTACTCTAATTGGTTTGATTATCTTAACTAGTAGAGGATCAAAAGTGCTCTAATATAAATATTAGGATTTTAATAATAACTGACTTCAGTGGGCCGTATACTTATTGAAGCAAAACTTATGTTTTTGGGAATGCTTGTCATTGTGATTTTTGAATTTGAAGTTTAAATTTTTGTCCCCAACACAAGATTTGATCTTTAGACTCCAAGCAAATCAATAGAAAAAAATAAAGGTAACTTTAATCCAATTCAGAAACCAGAAGACTCCCAAGCTAATCAAAGATGATACTTTGATTCAATCCCCAAGGGCCATGAAAGAGAAAGAAGAACTTATGCTTTGTGATGCAATTGTCACATAAGTTGAACCATTGATTATAATAGCCATCACCATAACGACCATATTGTATGCATGGTTGAAATCCAGGTGACCAGCTTTCTAGACCAGTGTGCTTGATTTTATCAAACCTACTTGTTTCACACAAATCACATGAGCGTAAGAGACATAAGAACGCGTTGGAAGATTCAGCTGTCATATCTAATTTCGCCTAGGGGTAAGGTTATTCTTGCCGGCAATGGCTTTAGCTTTATACGAATTCTATGTGGTCGCGTTGTGAAATTTGACTTCATACGTACCGTATGTGAGCTTACCTTCCTTCTTGTCCTTGGACACCGTTAAGATACTCGCAGAAATAAAAGGAAGATAGCACGAAACACTGGCCATGCCGTTTAGCCTTTGCTGCTAGGACTCCTGATATTTGATCCCAGAAAACATATTCATAACAAAATGAACATACGATCTAGAAACTAGGATACAGTCACCGTGTACAAAGGCCGTTTCCCTTTGAGATCGTGATATCACCTTCCTCGAGTTCTCATCAATCATTTGCACTGATTGGAAATGAGAAATGCAAAAATGGAAAGATAATACCCATCTCCTGTACCCTCCCGTCGTGATCATGCTGGTATTTGTACAGGGCATTAATCCTCCGAATATTAGTCAATTCGAGTTAACAAGGAGCGAAAAACTTAAGCATACCAAACACAAAAATTAGTCAGATGTGAGGAAGCGTAATTCCTTCCGCATTAACAGGCACACAAGACTGCAGAAACGAGTTTGAATAAATGGAAAGATATTCTGTACAGAGAGCAGATTGTGCGAGGACAAGCTGGCTCCAGTTATGCCCTGACATGCACATACCAATATCTGGAGCTCGAAAATTATTCTAATGGCTGATAATGGAGATTTCAACACAAAACTGCATAACGTAAGTGACCACAAGACAGTCATGATTACTACGGGAGAACTGTGACATAGGAAGGAATCGATCTATTTGTTAAAAAGTATACGGAATATAGAGAAAACGTCACAGCCGCAAAGACAGTTTGTTCATAGTGTTCACGTGTTTGATCTGATTTCGATCAGATCAAACAGATCACATGCCATTGAAAACACACATTCGGGATCAACCAAGGAAAATGGTAGGATGTAAACTAAGACTAAGATGTAAAACATGACAATTAAGTATATTAAGTGGGAAGGATGAAGAGGATGTGACAAATTTATTTACAACAATTTCGTTCGACCTGACAGTTCCCCAGAGTTCCTGCCACCAATATAAAACTCGTGAACCGAATCCTTTCCTGAATCAGACGAAACTGAAGAATGAACAGCAAGTAATAAAATACAGGAAAACTTACCTGGCGGCTTTATGATCCTGAGACGGAACGCGTGAATAGCATTCTCAGAAATAAGACGTCTAACAGGCAAGCTTGGAACATGCTTCAGAGGGCAACAAGCACACACAAACAGCTATTAAAAATATATTTAGAAAAATGTGGCAGAGTTACACATCAAAGAATGGACAGTTTGAGAAGAATCGCTGGAAAGAAATCTCATGAATGACTCATATCCAGTCAAGCACATCCCCAACTATAAACTGTGTCAATCAGTATGATAGATAATAAGAGCAGATCTTACAGCCTACGACATTCGTTGCACCAGACTCACAATGTAACCCACTTTTTTAAAAAGATAGGAAATAAACGAGCTTTCTGGAAAGAAGGACTGTGCAAATTGGAGGAATGGGCAATGGAAGCAGGCTCTGGTTGATAGCTTAAGTGTATGCTATTACAGCTCAACTACTGTGGTGTTGCTGACTGAAAACACTCCACCTTGCCTTGCATCGACGTGATATCGTTTCAGAGTTGCAGAAATAATTGTAATAACAAACTACGCCGAGGCTTATGCTGCGCAGCACTTCCATTCCAAGCGAGAACGTCCACTGCTCTTCTCGAAGAGTAAGGCTAAGATCGTAGGCATGTCGACACTGTCACTAGCAGAATATGAGAAGGAGATTCAGAAGCATGTAACAAATAGGGAGATTCAGTTCGTAGACCAAAGCCAACCTTACTGCAATTCAAAACGAGACCATCGGGCTCTATCGACAAAAAAAAAAAATCCCAGTAGAGCAATAACATGATCTACAAGCCTAAGTGCACCGTCCCAAGGACCAAAACATTGTCATATTCTATCAACGATACTCATACACCCATTTCATTCCATAAATGCTTTGAATGAAAAACGCATTATGACCTGAAAAACGCATTATGACCGGAAAAATTGTCTCCACCCTCAGCTCGAGCTACTCATGCTTCACGATGTAGAAACAAAGAAAATTTCGTTATTTGGCATCGCGTCGTGGGCCATACTCAATGTTTCAGCAGGCTCTTCCAATATGGACCGAGATCAGTCAATAAATCCAGTGAATCTAATAAGCGGAACTGGAGCTTACCATCACATGAACTTCATGACTTTCTACTCTGGCGACAACATTCCTCTCAGGTGACACTTCAACCCTAGGAATCTATTTTGAAACCAATTTTTACGATCAATCATCATGTCATTTCCAATCTGCCTTTTGTTCTAGACAACTCCAGCCCCTTCTAGACTCGAGGATTCCAACCCCGTGCCTTCCCGAGTGGGAAAACAAACCGTTTTTCCGAACGAGACCAGTTATAACACGATTCAAAAAAACGCAAAAGCTACCTCCGGCGCCCACTCCAAAGTGTTCACGAGCTCGTCAGTGGCCGCTCTTGGACCCATGTCCATGTCCACCGTCATGACCAGCTCCATGTCCGTGACCGTGACCGTGACCGTTCCAAGGGTGCCGCCACCCCATCAACACAGCTCCATCATTCTTCGCCCTGTACATGATCCACAGCCACATCACAGCGCACAATCCCTGGCCTGTCCTCGTTTGCCAAGCCTTGGGTGCGTGCAAGGTTAGATCGGCAAACTTCTGACCGTGTCCGCCTGCCATCGCTGCTCTCCGAATTCCGATTCACTTCGGTGAATCAGCAGCAACGCTCCGTGAGTGATAGATCGACCGACCAATTCGCCTGGTGCCAATTCCGCAGAACGACGACACGGGTCAGAAGAGCATCAATCAAAATGCCTTTAAGCCACCAATCGGAAGTTCCTTCTCCCAGCGTCTAGAGGATTGCAGCAAGTGAATCTGATGCTGGGCAGAATTGCTATGCTCCAACTCACCGAGAACGAATTGCTCCTCGTGCCGTTACTAGATCTCCAGACTCGAGCGCCTGAAATGACTGCCCTGTCTCATATTCGGAGATTCGGCACCCTTGAAACATGGACGGGTTTTCGACGCTAACTTATCAAGCTACGGTCGTGTACAAGACTATAGTTGCCCTACTTTCTTTTTACTTTATTTATATAGTCCTATATTTCTATTCCAAAGTTAACCTTACAACAAATCATATAAGTGTTGCTCTGTTTGTCTACTTGTGACTCAATATGTTTGTAGAAGATACATATTTCAAATTTTAGAATAATGTACTGAATAGATTTATAAGTGTATACTCTTAATGAAATTAAAATTTATTTAAAATATAAATTAAAGTACACACTTAAAGCATAAGGCTTGAAATAAAAACTCATAATTCTAAAAATATGATACATATAAAAGACTCTATCAACGGAACATTCTCTTAAATGCTCTGAATGTATCCCATACAATATACACACATCTCGTAACAAATTCAAAATCTTATACTCTCTTCTTATAATTCACGAATCTATGTATGAAGATTTATGCAAGGAGTTTGGGGCCGGTCAGATAAATCCAAGTTCCGCTCTTGGTTTGGTTGATTTTACAGCAGAGTTTCAATGCATGCGATTTTTATGCAGTCCAAGTTTACAGAGTTTAATCTGTCTCTCGACATGTTTCAAGCAAATGGTTTACTAGCGGATACTGACGAGGACGCTGCTAAGGTTACGAAGCCCGTGAAGATGGTTAAGTTGGAGTCTCAAGACTTAATGATGCTGGATGCAGATGAGGTGCAATGAGGAAGCGTACGTTCTCCTCACTCCTCAGGGTACTTTGTACTTTGCTTCGAGCTCTTCGGTTACGTCCGTCTACATATATCACTCGATCCGGGAGTCCATGAAACTCTTAGCTCTAGCCACGATCGAGAGCTGGATGATTGAACTTCTCTCATTCCACTTTAGATCAATATATATATTGTGTAGCCTTCATGAAAATGTATTATTCTCATTCTTTTTCATTTACTTCTAGGTATTGCTATCTATATACATGAATTTATTAACAAAACTTAATACATCGATTAACACTCATTTTTTGTTTAGTGTAACACATTGAAATATTAACCTCCATGTACTTGTATATATTTTAATTATTTATTCTCATTTTATTCTAATAATTCAGATTAACAAAATATTATGGGTTGCATAATATATCTTTTATATTATTGAAGCTAAAAGAAACGTTTCACTAATTTTTTTAATCCATGTCCAATCCTTGATGAGGTATTACCTTGAATTTTAGTGTCTACTTGGCACCACAAATTATTTCAAAACTGTTAGGGAACTAACTAATTGAAACATGTTATACTCCAATCAAATTTGGACTTTCATGCAGAGCTAGAAGTGAGTATTATTCCAGCGCTGAACATCAGTAAATCGGCATCATTGCTACATGAAGGACCAAAAAAAAACACAATCTGATTTGAATCAAGAAACGGAAAAATATTCATATTACCTCACTTTGATGTGAAACTCACAATAGTTAGAGAAAGAGCCCAACTCAAAAAGTATCAAGTGGTGGTAATAATCGTATGTTTGATGTAATGGATATGCTCTGGATTTGCCTATACGATAAATCCACTTCATCCTTTGATGTCCGAAAACCATCCTCACAACGTCCTTGCGAAACCATGATCCTGATTTCATGGGTACGAAATATGTCAATTGCATTCTCTTAATGATTTTCTACTGTAATATAACACTCAAAATTTGTAATCGAGAGTTTCTTCTGGGACCGAGGTTAAGGCACTTATTATCAGTCGCGTCTAGCCCAGAATTTGACAGCGATGGCTAAACAAAAGCATTCAATTCCCGCACATATAGTCTTAGGGTTGCACCCGTCAATACGGAAATTCGAATTTGCGAAACCCAGAAATCAATTCAATCAATATGTGCTTATCGCTAACTATTTGCCGACTACGCCCACCGGTTTCAATACTTTCGCCAATCCTTCGGTTTTCGAAAGAGACCTGACCCTTCATGCAGCCCCTGGAGACTTCCACTCCGTGCAGATCTGCTCTTTCATTTGGCCGATGCAGCAATCGACGGGAATCGTTTCACATTGTCAACAGTAGATCTCAGTTCCGAGGAAAGAACTCCCGGGGGAGAATGCCAAAAAAATTTGGACCATTTCTCGATTTGTGCGTGTCATCCTTGCGCAGGGGCCATGCTAATCTTCTCTGTATCGTTCCAATTTTATCGGATGTCCCCGAAGGGACGAGAGGGGGGCCGCAGCAGCTGAGTATATACAACAATTCTAAAATGTTACTAAGCGTATGGTTTCAATACTGTTTTGAAGCCACGTTTCTCGACGTAGGTCATTCTTTCGATTGTGCACTGTTCCAAGAAGCCAATTCCTTAACCGCCCGGTAGTTTACGTCCCTAGGCTTTGAAGATTGTTTTTGGTGTGGCCATTATATGTGGCGACATGTTCCTTCTCCTCAACCCCATATTATGCAGTTTCATATACTGCTTCTGTAGACTACGTAATCATGTACATCTAGCTGGACTCACATATACACATTGTTTTCCTTTGACAAGACTTTTGGGAAAAATCCTACCATATATGTATATATATACACAACCTATGAAGAACTTGAATGAAGAGTTTATTTTGTACCATTCATTCATGATTGTTTCAAAATGATTTTGGAAACATGAATTAGAATACTTTTCAAGTTCAAAGATTTTAATACTTTTATAGAAATTAAACTCTTCAATGTATGAAGCAACTCAGATAAGATAAGTGAAATGAATGAACTCATCATTTAGCAAATAATGGTATGGCAAGTGAACACAACCTTCATGCTCAATACATCGTTGGATAGGATAAAATAATGTTGTAAGAAAAATTCAGATTGGACATAATCTATTGAGTGTGATTTGACTAATAAACATGAGTCCAACAAGAATAGTCTCAAATAAGAAGACACTTGAATCAATCAAATACACGAACAAAATTTGGTAATGCGTGTGTTTCACGAAACTGATTGCTTTCATCATATGCATAATCTGGACAGATAGAGAAAAACACTAGATGGTAATTCACAAAAAACATCACTTGATCTGGTAGTTCTATGTTGTGAACTTTTTCATGAGTACATTATCTAACAAGCCATGCATGTGGCGGCTCCTATATATGGTCAATAAAAATAACCAACAAGAACTGCGCATTTTGTTAACACATCAAAGTATGAGTACTGTATTCGACGGGGCACTTGTAGATCATAGAGCCTGCATACATAATGATCATAGCGTTTTCAACTGAAATTTTTCTAGATGTTGAAATAATTCAACTCTAGTAATGAAAAAATAGCTCACAAAATTTGATGAGATACAAACATGGAAGATGATTGAACTCATAAAGATGAAGACAAGCCACTGAATGCATATAGACGTAGTAAATGAAGACTCTCTCACATGATAGAATCATGAGTAGCCATATCACACATGGCAAATTTGTGAATCAAAATGACTTAACATATGTATAGGATTGATTGAGAGGAGCTAGTTTTCCAGTTTACGATGATTTCAACTCTACTCATTATCTGGGAAATTTCTGTACAACAACATTTGAAACATATTCGAAATGGATTTAAATAAAACTTTTTTGATTGAATGACCATTCATCAAATGACCATTCAACAAATACATTCATCTTAATATATGCATTCCAGAAATCATATTCGACTATTTCGTTTTCAATTGGTTCTTTCTCAGCCGAAAATTGCATCACTGATATGATACGAAAAGGTATATGATCAAATCGAGATCTTGCAACTTCATTTATGTTGGGTAAAATGATTTGAAGATCATCGTAGATTATTAGATAATCCAAGTAGCAAAATACAAGTTGTAGAAAGAATTGGAGAGGCTTGGTGCATTTATTATTGAATTGGCGCTGTTGAAAAAATATTGTCAGATGTTGCGAATACAGTGTGCACCAGATAAATCAGTGTAACTTGGAAACACAACATTATTGATCATTCTTAATCTATCTGAAACAAAATGCCAAACATGTTCCAAGTTCAAATGATGTATTGGCAGATATTTTGAACATATTTTGCCATTTGACTTAAAGTTTAATGTATGTGTTAACCACAAGGTATAAATTTGAGCTATTCTATTGAGGATGTAATTAAATTCGTGAAAAATCGTATGAAATATCACCTTAATGTTACGAAAAGGTATCTTGATATTATGAAGAAGATATTTAGATGTGGAATGTAGCTTAATGTCCTTCTGAGTTTAGTTTGAACTTCACTCCATAAATTATACTGATGTGATATCTGTATGATTTTTCATCCTAGATTGTGTTACTTGTTTAGATGATATTCATTCCATGTTGAACTACGTATCCACTTTGAAAGCTACCTATATGTTTCGCATCCAATAAGCATCATACTCTGGCTTTTTCATATACTTAAAGCCAAGCATGATGGAGTGAAATGGTTGGGGTAGGATATATATTGATCACTGAGTATCTCAGTTATTCGAAACAAAAGAAAACAAAAATCATTACTATTTTTTTGGCCAGAATCATGTGTATCGTACTAGAAAGAAGCTTGCTGAGATGCACATTCCACTTCTTTGAGAAGATGATCCTTGGAAAAGAAAGTAGTTTCAAGAATTTGAACATGTCTACTGAGATGGTAGGATTTTTCCCAAAAGTCTTGTCAAAGGAAAACAATGTGTATATGTGAGTCCAGCTAGATGTACATGATTACGTAGTCTACAGAAGCAGTATATGAAACTGCATAATATGGGGTTGAGGAGAAGGAACATGTCGCCACATATAATGGCCACACCAAAAACAATCTTCAAAGCCTAGGGACGTAAACTACCGGGCGGTTAAGGAATTGGCTTCTTGGAACAGTGCACAATCGAAAGAATGACCTACGTCGAGAAACGTGGCTTCAAAACAGTATTGAAACCATACGCTTAGTAACATTTTAGAATTGTTGTATATACTCAGCTGCTGCGGCCCCCCTCTCGTCCCTTCGGGGACATCC